CTACTATAATAGCTACGACAATAAAAACAATAATGACACTAACAATCGCAATAATAAAAGGTAGAGGTGGATATGTAATGATAATTATTGTGTCTATTATTATAGCTACGATCAACGCTATAGAGCAATTAGCAATAATCATCAACTTATTATCCAGTAGTGATTGACGATTAATTTTTATAATTGCTACTGTAGTCGCAATAAACACCACATAAAAAGCAACGGTCGGACCAATAATCAAAGGAATTGGTGTTATAGGACACTTGTGGTCGGGTATAAAAGTGGTTACCCATTCTAGGCGCGGCAGGCACAATAAATAAATGGAAGGATTAGTTTCAATAGACTCGGATTTATCATTAGTAATATTACCTTCATTATTTTTCAAGGAAAAAGATAATTTAATTTTATTTATATACTATAATAGTAATAATAATAATAATAAGATAATTACCGAAGGCAACAATCAAATGGTTCCGATATAAATTTACAGTATGATATGCTAATGGAGGCGGTTGAATTCCAGAACCTTTTAATTCTGAATATTCATAAGGCTCGGCTGTAATATCTAGCATTATAAAAACTGGATGCGCAGTAATTGTATTTTCTATAAGTGCTATAAGTAAATATTTGTTTAGTACTAAATATATTTGAAGGGAAGCAGACTTTATTAATATTTACACTTGGTTCCGCCTATAATAATGATTTTATTATTATCTGGTGTTAAGGTTGCCGTATGGCCTACACGAGCCGCAATAGAAGTGCCTTTTGCTTGCTAAATATTTATATCTTAAATTAGAAATAATGGTATGATTAATTGTAACCACTAAAGAAAAAGATGAATACTTTGGATGACCAGGTTGAAGAATATGTGTCGAATACTAAGATCTATAATAGAATTTTGTTTATATAAAAATTAGTATAAGTTAATAAAAATAATATGCATATTTTGGACAAGCATCATTCTGAAAATTTAATAAAAATAATGGATCTACCACAAAATTCCAACATCCAAAATCTCGACAGGACATAATACTAACATCACGCGATATATTATAATTAAAAACTTAAAGCTGACAAAATGTGATTACCAATCTTTAAATCTTAATCGTCACGTTGGGATTATTTTGTATGTCGGGATTTTATGGTTGAACCAAAAATAATTACATCTTTCATGCCAATTAGAGGTAAATATCGATCTTGATAAGCACCTCCAATATAGAGGATTTTACCATTTGGAAGTAACGTCGCAGTACTATGACTTCGAGCAGAAGGTGCATTACTTGCATTAACTTTAGTCCATTTTGGCGTAATGGTATCATAAGTATAGATATCATTAAAGAAAATCAGGTCAGGTGAACCAGTATCATGTTCGGCTCTTCCTCCAAATATATATATCATTCCATCCTGATTTATCACTGTTGAAGTTGATCTACGTCTGATTGGTGGTCCTCCTCTAGTGTAAGGAATTAACCAAGATTGTGAAGTTGGGTAGTAAATCAAAATATTTAATTCTCTATTCTCTCGATCAGTTACATTCCAAGTATTAATTAATTCGGTTTGCATTAGTGATTGATCCGTAATAGTTTCATTATGATCTATTTGATTAAGGAGTGTAAGGTTCTGTAATGTACCTCCAACGAGATACACATCACCATTGTTAGCTCCACCTGGCACTGCAGTTCCTAATGAATTTATTAAATAAAAGAATATATAGAATAAGTTCTAACACTTGTCTAAGCATGTAAATTTAATAACTAACCTTTTACACTTCCATATGGTATTCGTGAATCAATGTTGCCGGAAAGATCAATAAATGGTGGATTCTCACTAGAGAATGATGACGTAAGATCCAAATAAAAAACTTCATCTGATAAATTATAACCTCTTATTGAAAACCTTTTTTTTATTGGGTTATCATCTGAAACTCTACGAGAACCCCCCATAAAATAAATCTTATCTTTAACTATCACGGCTACATGTCCACCTCTACCTTCTGGCTTAAAACTATTTATCTCAAAAATAATACATATAAAAATAAATATGAATAAAATAGACTCAGTTAAAGATTTCATTCTTAGATTTTAAAGATTAGATTCTAAAGGGAATGCATCAGTAGGTTTTATAGAATCAAATGAACGATACACAGACCGGAACGGAATTTCTATTAGCAAATTAGTTAAATATTGCTCAAATTATAGTATTTACAAAGATAATATTGTACAATAAATAACTTTTTTTCAACAGCAAACAACTTTTTCAATGAAGCTTCTTTTATGAAACTTCTTTTTCATAAACATCTTATAATTTTCGTGTATCTGTTCTGATTCGTGTCACGTACGTATGTACATCGCGTACATCACGTACGTGCGTACATCACAAAATAAAGTATTTCAATGTTTGTACGATGTGTTATACAAATGATAATTTTGCAAGCTTGTGAAATTAAAATAAATATCATTGAAATCATTGAATTATCAAATTCCTTGGTTAATATGTAATTGTATGTTTTAATATAAAGTATATTTATAAACTAGAAAATAGAAAACTATTGATGGTTCAAAATCGAGATAGATGATCCACATAGTAACAACCAATCACAATTTGTAATTTGCGCACACACACAAGCTCTATGACTCTACCGTAATGTCCTTCGGACAAATTAATTTTTTAGCTTATCTAATATCTATATGCACTGGCGAGTTTGCCAAATCTTGCATTTGATTGGATAGCATTTTATATTGCATATTGGGTGGTCTGTTAACTTAAGTAAATCAAAATAATAATACTAAATCACACCAGTGGTGTTCAACACTACATATATTTTTTATAAGTTTGCTAGTAAAATCTAGGGTTAAGGGTCCTAAGTAGTTAGGGTGAGGTTTTGGGGTGCTATTTAGTTAGTTTTTGAAATATAGCAACTGTAATGTTTGTTGAATACTATTTATGTGATTTAGTAAAACCGTTAAAGTGTGTAAAAACTTTTTTTGATGTAAAATATAGAACAAAAAACCCCATAATCTAATTAATAAATTATAGTTATCAGTCGTGTCGTAGATGATAACTTATTATTCATCTACTAAAGACTCGATTAATAACTTGGTTATCCTACATATCTGACGTAAGCACTGAATGATTTCTGTGTAACTTATTAAACCACCACCTAATAAAATACTGTACGCAAATGTTCACTCATCTCGTAAGAGGTGAGTGAAATTTTGTATATTGCATAGGAGATGACAGAATAAGTTACACGGAAAAAACAGCTCGATCGGCTTGTATATTCAGTATAATAAAAACCGATTAATCAGTAGAGCCAATGAGTCGATTTCATCTCTAATTAAATTACCCATGGCCTTTATAATAGGGTTTCGATCCAAATTTACAGTCTGTAAAACTTTCAAATAAGTATTTTTGAAGTTCGCAGAATGCCACTAATTTGCCATAATATTTGACGCTTTTGACATTAAGACAAATTCTTATATATGAATTTGTTTGATATGCTATCTAATTGATATTGAACATTGTTGTTATAACAATAAATTCAATTTCATACCTTAAATCTGAAATCGGCATTAGGCATAAATATTGACATACAATTCTACGTTTACGACAACATACCAAAAAATTTCGTGTTATGTTATTCAAGGTACTGTGAATATAAATTAGTAATCAGAAAATTAAAAAACAGCCAAGGCATATTTGTAACATGTGTAATTTGTAACGATAATTTCTTGTTATCTGGCATGATGTGACGGATACATGGGTATTCAGCAGGATGATAGCAAAAGCACGTGGCTGAAGGCCACATGTGTTGCTATCACCCTGTCGAATACCCATGACTCCAATACATCATGCCAGATAACTAGTTTATCCGCAGGTATGACGTATACACTGATGGAACCATATTATTGCCCAAATAAACTCTCTTTGATTAATAATAAGCACTGATAATTCGAATGACGGGTATATAATGATAAGGGAACAATTGTGTTCCAACTCTTTCTTTAATACTTCAATATCATAATAAACTACTAACTTACGAAGACTTATTAGAGTTTTTAAACTCTCAAGAGTACAAATTATTGATAAATGTATCACAATATAGTTACAGTCAGTTGACAGATATAGAGATATATTCAATTATGAGTTCAAAGATTTTTCTTGCAAATTTTTCATGTGGTTAAAACAAATAGACAGAAGGAATCTAAAGTTAAAATATTCATGTTTCTCACACATGATAATTGAAAAAATATTCAGCCATCAAGCCATACATCATATGGGACTCTTACAAATTCAAAAAGAATTATGAAGGCTATACAAAATTTATGATGATATTTATTAGGCAGCGCAAAGTTGTTTTTTTGTTTTGCATTATTCACTGGCCCATTTTTTTAATTTTTTTTTAAGCCTAATTGTCTATTTTTGCTATTTAATTTTTTCATAAATTACTCCAGTATACCTGATAGAGATCTTGTTGTCCCAAAATTATCTGACAGAACTGAGAAAAAATTCAACTTCTAACCCAATTCCATTAGCTTTTGTGATTTTAGATGTGAAAAAAAAAGAAAAAAAATTTAACTGACCGACTGGGAATTTTGAAATCCATGGAATGCAAAACAAAAATCAACTTTATGTGCCTTATTCTATTTAATTATAAAATAATATAATATTTGTTGATTTGATTTGTTTTTTTTTAGATTCAAACATAATGACGGGAGAAGAAATATTTACACTTAATACTCGTAATATATTTTAATTACACTATTATTCGTAGATTCGAATAATTTAACATCTACCACAACTCCAACGAGATCTAATTTTAGCAAGAAACCAACATTTAGATCCCA